AAGCCCCGGCGACGGACGGGCTTGCGCGGCTTGCGGTGCGCTTCGTGATCCGAGAAGATTGCACGGTCACGGTCCTTAAGTTTCGTAGGCGCTGTGCCGGGCCGTTAATTACGATCACCCGCTCGGTTAATCACCGCGTCGGACGCGGCGACAGTTTAAATGGCGGGTGACGGCGCGCGCCGTGTAAGCAAGACCGCGAAGTGAAGTTCTGTGGATGTAAATAATGAAACCCGGCGTTTCCTCGCGGATTAATGGGCGCGACTTTCGAGCGGCGCTTTTGAGGGCAAATGTCGTCTTGGAAATTTTCGCGTCGCCTCTCTCGCGCGCGCACGCCATTGTTCGTTACACCGGCTATTTTTCGCCGCGCTGGGTTAAACAACACAATTCATTAATGTTCTATCAAGCGACGCTCATCTCCCGACGCGTTTCGTCGCGAAACAGCATGACGAGATTAACGGCGACGTTCTCCTCGACCTCAACATGTCGAAGTCAAACCAGACGAGCGATTTACTCGGACGACACGTTTTCATCTGTGATATCTCCAGTCAATTGAATCGACAGATCGACAGATCGACAGATCGACAGATCGAGGAAAAAATTCTTTAATTCAATACAAGACACGAATATGATATGTGATATTCTATTTTTATTCCTCCATTTATTCTTCTTTCATCTACAGGTATTTCATACATCTATATAGTGTCTTTTTGTCTCTTTGCAATAAAGCAAAACGCAGCCTAGCACTGATACCAAGGAGTATTCACTAAAATCAATTATTATTTTTAAGCGTCATTTTAGAGTGCATATGTTTCGTGGGATTAAGGAGAGCCATTAGCTAGTCCATTAATTATTCCATACGATTAATTATTCTATCGCAACATGGTGACGGTTTAAAGAAGCAAGGGATAATTCCCGGACAGCGACGCGAAAGCGGTTTCGCTCGAGGAATTTCAAGTTAGTCGAGATTTAAAGTGGACTTTAATGTGTAGTTCGCGACGCAAATTATCTCGAAGTCAGCTTTAAAACTAAAGCTTCTTTAAATTTTTTTGTAAGCCGCTTTCCACGATGCCGAGTCCCGTAAATGAGATTCACGATTGAGGCGGTAAATTGAAGCAGCGTTTCTGCAAAAAAACAATAACTTCTCCAGAGAAATACCTCGCATCTCTGGAAACGCTCGTTTCGAGGGAAGTGACGAGCACTTGACGAGGTAAATATTTCAGAAATAAATTTTTCATTCGTTTTTGTTCCACATCGGAGTGACACTTAAAAACATATTGACTTAAAAAAATATTGACGAAATTAATAAACACGCATGCATAAGAGGAAAACATGTCTGTTCTACAGCAAGTGATTCGTGCAATCCTTCCTTTGTGCGGAAATCAATGAAGAAAATGCTGCGAAATCGGCAGTTGAATCGCGAAATTTCGGCAAGTACAAGTACCGGTACTCTGTTACGCCATTGATAGCCGCAGGAACATCTCGAAATGATTGCAACTAAAACCGATCGCGGTATAACAACACTGATCTCGACCACTCGCGTTTGTCGCAACATGAAGTTGGCTGAATAAACATCCGCACGCGAGTAAATAAACAACGTCTAAATAAATCGATCGCTCGAACGTATATTAATACGGCGATGCAGTAGTGATCGCAATCCGTTCGAGTGTGCAAATAAACAAATACAACAGACAGATAGGTGGGTAAACGTCCGGGGAGAACGAGACGTTGGAATCGATTGTACGCTGATATCGAGATGGGAAAGGAGCGAAAATAGGTCGCAGAATGTCGTGGCAATAAATACATTGGGAAAAGAACGGCGAATGCGACGTGGTCCTGTTACAACAATGTAATATTGTGCATCGAGCTCAGCATCGCTGATGACTTTGGGGGTCTTTCTAAAAATAAGCAGATTTTTATGTAATTAAATTCATGCCCCTCCCCTACGGCGCCTCCCGGCTATAAGCACTGAAAGCATTGACTTTAATTTCATATTGTAATGGTAAAAGATGCACGAAGCTCCCTTCCATCTCTTTGTTCATTTCATGCAATTGAAATGTGCCGATTTAACGTCTGTGACGTATTGATGTCTCTTCTTTCATCTTTATATTCCGAAGAGAGATTACATTTTAGAAGCTCGTAACCTTCCCGAGATTGTTGTAAGTCTCGCGAGAGTCATTTTTCTCTGGAGAAATTCTTCCTTTTAATTTCTGAAATCTGCGAACGCTGGATTTCTCTAAAAGTCGATTTCTTCCCGAGGTGAAAAGAAACTCCAGCAATTTGGTAAAAATAAATGGAATTGTCAATGAAAAGAAAAATATCGACAATATATTAATATCCCCGAACATATCTAATGTACATTGTCGTCTTATGAATTTCGGTTCGTTATTAACAAACATGTTTGTCGAGATATCTGCCCGCTCGGTTATTTACCAACCCCAGCAATCCGCCATGAAAACCGAAACCAATCGTGATTAGCGCGTGTAGCACAGCCCCAATGATTGCGAAAGGACGTTACGTGGAATTAATAAACGCACGATCGATGTATTTGTTTAAACACCGGTTTATTTATCCGTGCAAAATCTCGTTATTCACGTCCCAATAGAATTCCTGCCGGCATTACAAACCGATACGGCAGTGACTATCACTTTTTCGCGAGGACAGAGACCTGATCTTTACGGCTATTTGCAAACGCAGCGAAAGATAATATACACACACACACAGTGCAGTGTTTTCCGAATGGAACCGAACGGATCGCGCGCCGGTATGTTTCCAAAGCCCGGAGGAGAACTTCTTCTTGGAAACACAAACTCTCCTGTTAATTGCGACGATATGAAAGTACCTTTTCATAAAAATCAGACTCGGCGCTTTCGATAAATATTTTTCCACCTCGATGAACTCGTTCGCCGCGAATATTAAATATTTTGCTTGAAAGTAACGTAAACAATAACTAATATAGGAAATAATTGTGTAAAAAATGGACAGCTGGAAGTGCCATCAAAATACCATCGAAATACGTTCTTTAACGGCACCACTCAACTGTCATTAATAATCTAACTATTCTCTCCTAATCTTTGAACAAACTGTCATGGCGAATGATTTGTTGCTACTTGAGATATTTTTATGCGTCCTCGGCACGCAGTACCATTGGCGTACGCATAATGGTGCTTCCAGCCGCATGTCGTCGTAAGCTGCATCATTTTCAAATCACAAAGAGCTAATAGATACTAAATTCCGTAGAATCCTAGATCCTTTCAAAGCAGGAACCTACGACTGGGATTAATAGGAGCAGTGACTAACAGTATCCATTAGCCTCCTGGACTTTATGCACAATCGCGCGGCTGGATGATGCACTATTAGTATCCTCGGTATAATCCTCGGTATAATGTCGCACCGGCGATGATTGCAAAACGAATCGCGGGACGGACGCTAAAAACGATTTCGCGAGCGAAGCACGTAACGAGCGTCGCGATGACGCCATGCAAACGGTCGGCCGGATGTATAATAGTCTTAATTAAAATGGCGGTCTAACGAACATCGCTAACTGCGGTAATCCGACGTGCCTCATTGGTAATCCTCCGACCATACCACCGAACACGAGTGTGTGGCGATAGAGCTTGCATACCAGGCTACGTGCTAGGATACGTGTCTCGTCCTGCGCCACCATTTCCACATATGGCCGCCAAATTACGTGGGATTAAATACTTTTATAAATAAGCCCCTAATCACACACAAGATTCTTGCGCCGCGGAAATCCCCTGAAAAATTTCTTCAAAACGAGCAGCCTCTCTTAGACGCAACCTCTCGAGGATTATTATTGCACCTGCAATAGCATTCCTCTATAGTTACAGACGAAAGAAAATCTCTATAAAAGTCACAAATGTACCGGAGAGAAATCCATCGCAGCAGTAAATAATTTCCACGGCAAGTGACGAATTAAAGAGGCCGCTGGCCAAATCGATCCGACGCGAGTTCAAAGTCCGGTCGATGAAATCTTGCCGTCTCGAGTCCGGAGTCACCTCATTAACCAGAAGTGCGATCAATAAATGATCGCAAAGTCAAATATACCGACCGGTGTTCTCAAGATGCTGGAGGGTCACAGGGATCGTTGAGTAATACGGGCTGCATTGTCAGTGGCAATGGCGAAGAAAGCCCGTACTTAAGGTTGTTGCGTCGCGTCCCGTCAGAAAAGAACTCGTCATGTTCCCTCGAGCGCGACGCCGGTGAATTTTTTACGCTTAATTTCCCGGCAACACGTACGGTGGCAGTCTCGCGCCGTGCCGGCGTGAAATCGACGAGACGTACGTGCTACGATGTGACGCGGTCGTAGCGCGCGTTGGCAGCGCAATACGTGGCTCGTTTCGCTCGTAAGCACGTCTCCGCTCTCTCGGCCGTCGCAGTCGATACGGGATCCGCGCGATACGTGAATTGTCCCGTTAACGACGCCACCGGCGAGTTGTTTCGTGACTTTAGTTCATAAGTGGATGAGCACCGGCCGGAAATAAGGTTGTTGGGGGTACAACTAAGGGCGGTATTCATAGCCCGGATCCAATATCTAAAAGCGTCTTTGCTTCGTCCCAGGATGCTGCAAGACCCATTTCATTGGGCCACTCTGAGATAAATTCGAGACGATCTTAATCCCTTGAGCGCAGAGTGCGAACAGCGAAGGAAAGATCGTCGAATACCTTGGACTCTCGTAAGTCAATCGGTGAGCGAAATAACGTCTTGACGTAGTGAAGTCATACTTGGCAAATGAACAATAAAATGTCGCATTTATTATCATCGCTGAAATATGTGAGCGTGAATCATGAGAACGTCAAAATAAGCGGCTGTAGCGAATGTTGTTTGCGTGTCGAGAGTACAAGCTGAACAAAAATAGCATCCGAGATATTAAATATAAAATCGAGCGTGTGCACGAATATTGCCCCGAAGCATCGCCCTCGCTAATTTTTCAGCTAGAGACGTAGCTGTGTTCTCGAAAGCGTAATCACTGTGACACTCACCGTGTCGCGATGAGCGGACAGGTAATGCTCGGGGAAGCCCAGGCTTCTGGGCTCCAAGGCGCGCATTCGTACAATCTGAGCTCCCGCCCTGAAACCGCGCCGAAGACACTACGCCATCCTCCGGTGCATCCACCGGCCAGGCCGAATCCGCTGCCGGCTCCTCGCGAAGTGCTCGCGCTGCTTCCGGCGCCATCCTCGCTGCTCTCGCTGCTGGCCCGTCCGTTCTGCAAGTACACGTGGTATATCTTTTATATGAATATTCAACCTTCAATCCAAAACACAAAAGGAAAACCCCGAGCTCCACGGGGCGTCCGAGCAAGTGGACGTGATGTGGATTTTCGAGGGAAAATCCAGAAGAAAAAGCCGACAATTTGAGAAGGGGGAGAAGCGCTTGAAAATTCGAGATCTCCTGGATTTTCGACGGCTCAGAGCTTCTTCAGCCGAGCGCTCGACCTTCGCGGGCGAAAGAAAGATAATTGAATCGAAAAATGAGCGAAGAAGAAAGCGATGGCCGCCATTAATCAAACCGTGTGTGAAGTATTGCTGATGATCGTGTAAAGAGACACCGCGACGATCGATGAGGCGAAAGGAGGAGCCTCCTCGAAGAGTTAGAAGCCAATTTCATGGAGAAAGGCGGTGTCGCGCTCGTCCATTTCCTCGCTTTATTTCTGTAGCATCATGTCGAGTGAAACGTGACGTTCGGCTATAATTACATTATTGCGTCTTGTATTGACGTTCGCTCCGTTCGTGACGTACGTGAGAAGAGCGCACGATCCTGCCGGTTTCGGACGATGACATTCGTAAATTGAAGGGCTATGCAAAAATAAGAGGAACCACGCTGTTGGAATTAGATTGCAAAAAAAGGAGAGAAAGAAAAGTTGAAAGCTGAAACCCTGCCGAGGCTTCGACGTCATTTCCGCGCAAAAGAAAAGAAGGAACGGGAGAAGCACAAACCGGCAGCATTTTCGGGAATAGCGAATTGTGAACGAGGACACATTTCGTCTGAGAAACTTCCGTTCTTATGACTGACGACAAGACAGACACGACGAGAATCTCCTTCTCCGTGCAAATGACAGGGCTAAAAAGTTGCCGTGTAACGTTACACATTGTAGCCGTAACTCATCATCTTGGCGTCCCGTCCTATCTTTTTCCCCCGGCGAGCAATTCCACATATTTGCAAAATTTCATTAAAATCAGAACTTCCCAGTTCGCCCCCTTGTTAGTAGGATCGCAATCGCGCTAGAGTCATAGAAGAGCAACCTAAGAAGAGCAGCACATTAATCTTAAACGACTTCCTGCCTCTTTCTCTCGGTGAAGGATCAAACTTCGTCCCCTCTCGGCCCCTTCCAAACCGCTCCCTCCCCTCCCCCTTCTCTAAAGCCCCGTCCGTAGGAAAAGTTGGCGTAAGTAGCGGCGTAAGGAGATACATCCTATGTACGAGGAGAGACTGCAAGTTCTGACGAAGTCGCTCTCGGTCGACGAACGACGTCAGATCGGAAAGTTTATCCGGCAGATTAAAAAACTCCACGCGCGACGACCGGAGAGCTAGTTCAGCTAGTATTTTATATGAAAACAAAAATATCGCGTCACACACACACACACACACACACACACATACATACACGCGTACAGAAGGACGCTTGTTTTATCAGGGTCTGAGAAAGTGCGACGGCCCTCGAGTGCGAGGACCTTCGAGCCCCTCTAATACCTTGGCCGGAGGAAAATTCGAGAGGAGTGCTCTCCCCGTTGACCGAATGTCCCGAACTCTAAATATTCGCGGGCACCCGCGAAATGAAGTCATAGAGGGACTCGGCAGGAGCGAGAGTTTCGGCGCGCTCTGAACGGCGCGGCGGGAATTATGGGGTCGAAAAGAGGTTGATAATCACGCCGCGCGAAACAAAGGAGCCGAGGGGCGCGAGAGACGGCGGGAGTTTCGGCGGGATTCAATGTCCCGGAATCGCTCGAAATCTGAGTAGCGCGTTGCTTGCTCCTTTTGCCTTCGCCACGTTTCAATGCTCCACAGACATCACAATCGTCGGCGCCTTATCGGCGGCGCTCTGCTACGCCGATTTTCTTCGTCGCGGCAACCGTGAAATCGAGCGAAAAGGCCGGAGAAGGGAGACGTAGCGCAATCTATGGCGAGGGTACCAATGTGGAATCAGGCGAAAAGAGTGAAATATTAAACGGCCGAGAGAGCGAATGTCTAACGGGGCATTCGCGGCGAGACGAAGAGAAAGAGAAAGAGAGAGAGAGAGAGAGAGAGAGAGAGAGAGAGAGAGAGAGAGAGAAAGAAGTCGATCCCGACGAAGTCAGAGAAGTTCGGAAAGCGCGAACGATTCGAGAGGAAGGTTATCAAGCAGGAAGGAACCGGCGACACCTCGTCCTTTTTCATTCCGCCTCTGCTGGGACGCCTTCGATTTGCATCGTCGACGATCCCGTCGCTGATAATAAAGAAACGCCTCGGAAGAAACGATCGGCGAGCGCAGAGGGACAGACAGATAGACGCCTTTTGTCCCGAAGAAAGACAAATATTGAGTTAACTACGAGGCCCCACCACGGATTCTCGGCCAGCTCGCTAATGTAAGAAGTGTGACTAGAGAAAGAGAGAGAGAGAGAGGGGGGGAAAGGGAAGGGTGGGAGGGAGGGAGAGAGGACAGACAGAGCCATTGTGATCGAGCTGCCCGGGGGCCGCTCTCCCGCTGTGTGTGTATGCGCGCGTATGTGTGTGTGTGTGTGTGTGTGTGTGTGTATGTGTGTGTGTGTGTAAGTACCGCGCAGCGTGAATCGAACCTAACCGGCTTTTGATTCGCGACTCGCTGGCCTTCTATACGGAACAAACGATAACGCGTGATGTACGAGGTTTCGCATCCTCCCCTCCGCCCGCCCTCGACCCTTCAACCCGTGTGTTTCGCACTGAGGATATCTCGCCGAATGCTCGTATCTTCCAGCCTTCCTTCGCTCCACGTTTCGGCGAATCTGCACGCGCCACATAGCACCTCGGCGCGCTTCCATCCGAGGTTCGTTCCCTTTCGCTCGGCGCTCCCGTTATGCGCCCGTCTCTTTCCTCCGCGTGTCTTCTCCTTTTTCCTTTTTTCTCTCGCCCTACACTCGCCGGAATAACTGTCGTCTGCTTCCACATCGCGAGCGCGAAAGCACAGCGCGAAAGCACAGCGCGATCACCCCGGCGCGTTGCGCCCCTCGCTTCGCTTCGTCCTGGCGGCGGACGTCCTACGTATTGAGCAGCGTACTTTTGTTTACGAGCCACCATAATACAGGTGTAATCGCGGCGATATTTTCGCGAGCATTAATCCCGGACTGTACATTTATCGAGGAAGCAAGGATTAGAGCGAGATTAAACGCGCCGGATATCTCTATCCACTCGCAGCTGTACGCTGAGAGAGCCCGCCCCGTGAGATGGAAGAGATCTCGTGCGGTGCGGGGCCGGTGTCCTAAATCATCCCGGCTAATTTCGCCTAATCTTTATGCCGGCAGTAAAATAACAATTCCTGCGCGAGGGCGCGTTCCGGGCCCCGACGAATTAACGACAAATCGCGCGAAGTCGCGCGAGCCAAAGAAGGGAAAGAAACGCGCCGTGAAGGCAGCGCGCTCCGGCTCAACCACCCCCGATTGGCCCCCCCGCTACCGGCAAGTATTCGTCAGTTTCGCCTTGGCGCAGATTTGACGGCGAGTTGTAGCAATCCCGGGGGCGCAGGCGGGAGGGGGGTGGGGAGAATCGGGACAAAAATCCCGCGCGGCCGCACTAAAGCGGGATTAATGTCGAAAAGCCGGAGCGCCATTATTGCGAGCTGCGTTCCGGCGGCGTATAGCCCGCATTAAGCAGGCGAATTCGGCCGCGCGCCCTGCAATGATGCGTCTTCGCGGCGCACAAAGCCCTCGCTGATATATCGCCGTTATAACTTCGGAAGCAGTAACGTGATTTTAACCAGGGGGACGAGAGCGCGATCGCACTTCCGTGTGTATGCAAATCCTAATTGCCGATAATTTCGCGCTCCGACCGTGCGCCCTGCCTCCCCCGCTCCTCTTGCAATTTAGCCGATTGTGCGCGAAGATTTCACGCTTCCGGTATACTTGCCGTTCTCGCAGCCCTCCCTCCTCTGCCCCGCGCCTGTGCGAAATTAGTCTTCCCTCTTTGTCGAGATTCGGGGATCACGGAGACGGCTCGGCTGCGAGACGCACTGAGGATCGTCTCGGCACGGCGCGCAGCCGTACGATATCGCTCGCCGACGAGACACAGCGAGGAGATCTCGCTCGTTAGCCGGCAATTCTAAGCGGCGAGCGCGCGATAACGGTGCTTCTTTCGCCGCGGGGCTTACCGGGAAAAGCCGCGCCGAGAAACGCTCGCTGTCGCGGTGACGCGCTGACGCGTTTCCCGACTCGATGCGGAAAGCGAGCGAGCGAGCGAGCGAGCGCCGGCCTATCCCTGCTGCGAAGCGGGTGGAAAATAACGGAGTCGTAAACACACTCAAATGAGCGCAGCCGGTAAAACTACCGTTTCCGGGAGCGCCGGCGTTCAAACTCAAATTGCGCGCGAACGGCGGGCAGCGGCAGTGAGGGGTGGAAAACGGCGGCGGGACGTACGGGGTGGCGGGGTGGCGCGCCCGTAAATGTCGCGATCCTCTGAAATCGACTTAAAATGAGTCACCGGGCCAGGGCCACGATTTGATTCCGGCTTGTCGACAGCTGTTGTACAAACTGTGTTTCACGGCGAAACTTTCATTAGAGCTTTCACCACGGCGCTCCGCGCCTCGTCGGGTTCACGGCAGCGCCGAAATTCAGATTTCGTCTGTTATCTGGAATTTTAGCCCAAGTCGGACAATCAGCCGCGCAACCACCGGCGGTCGAAACAGAGCGCGCGCGCTTGACAAAAATTCTCGCCGCGCTCCCAAGTCGCTTTTCCCAAGTCGAGCGACTCGCGTACACTCGATCATTGTCTTACGGCTCGCTGCGGGAGAAAATCCATTACCACCGCTGACATTGAATCAACTCTGCCGTCGTTCTTGCGCGCTCGCTCGCGATATTAACGTTTACAACTATTCATCCTCGGAGCATTAAAAAGAAGCGCGAGTAAGAGAGAGAGAGAGAGAGAAAGAAAGAGAGAGAGAAAGAGAGAGAGAGAGGGAGAGAGAGAGAGAGCAGCTCGCGGGCGCGAGAATAGTGAGCGAAATCAAAACGTAACGAGAGATAAAACGGACGCGCTCGCAGT